GCGGTGGCGGTGTTGGTCAGGCCAGTGCCCTCCTGGTCCGCGGCCTGGATGATCAGCGTGTAGTTGGGAGTGGTCTGCAAGCCAAAATCATTGTGGTCAGGGCTGGGACGGGGCCCGGCCCTGATGGGCTCGGGGCCACAGACCCCCAGAGCAGGGGACAGTGACCCAGCGATGACAAGTCCCTGAGCCACTGGACCCCACAGCTCCGGCACAGCTGTGGAGCTGCTGCGTGGTCCCCCAGGACACCCCCAGGGTGCCCACCTCCCGGTCCAGCCCGGTGCCAATGACACTGATGATGCCCTTCTCAGGGTCGATGGTGAACATCTGCTGGGCACTCTTGGGCTCCTCGCTCAGGATGGAGTAGCCAATGATGCCGTTGTTCACGTTGATCGCGTCATCTGCGTCCGTGGCGTTCACCGTCATCACGGACGTGCCTGGGCACGGGGACACAGGGCAGGTGTCACTGGTGGGACAAACCCCACCAGAAACCCTGTCGTGGCTCTTGCTCAGGGCTCTGCCAGGCCCCAGTCATGGGGCCCCAGCTGCCAGCCCCACTCACCTGGCTTGGCGTTCTCCTCGATGTAGCCAATGAAGACTTGCTTGGTGAACACGGGCCGGTTGTCATTCTGGTCCGTCACAGTGATGATGATCTCCATGGGGTCCTCCACGGGCTGCCCGTTGGCTGACACGGCGTGGGAGAAGAGCTGCAAGGGCACCATCAGTCCCCGTGCAGCACCGGGGACCATCCTGTCCCAGACCCCCACTCATGACATATTTGACCCCCACTCACAACATATTTATCTTTCTCCTCTCGGTCCAGCGGCTTCGTCTCCTCCAGCCACCCTGTCTCCCGCTCGATGGTGAAGATGCCCACAGGGGGGGTGTCTGCCCCCTGCCCTGTGATGCTGTAGAAAACCTTGGTCTCCTTGTCCTTGTTGGATTTGATCTGGAAGGGAAGCAGAGAGGGGTTCAGGTGTCCTGGCAGCCCAGGGACCCCCTGTTCCTGCATCCCATCCCCACGGGGCCATACCTGCACCAGCTTCTTGGGGAAGGGCCCCCGCTCGTTCTCAGGACAGTTGATGGGGGGGATGACCCAGTCCCTCTTCTGCCGCTGGAGGCCATGGCTGGGCTTGGGGAAGATCAGCAGCTCAGGTGTCACATCCTACAGGGAGAGCAACTCAGCTTGGTGCCAGCACCTTTCCAAGCCCCTTACATGCTCTCCGCTGGGGAGAGGGGCCACAGGGTCCCCGATGAGAGATGAGCTGGTCTTTACCTGTTGTTGATGGTGGTGGTGGTGACGGTGGTGTTTCCGCCTATGCAGTGTCACCCTGGCCAAGTGCTTCTTGCCGGTGGTGTCCCAGGTGTGGACAGTGAAGCTGATCTCCCTGTGCTGGAGCTGCAGGGGTCGGGTGGCAGAGACGACACCGTCCCTGCTCACCTTGAAGCGCGTGTCGTCCGACAGGTACACGGCACGGCGCTGCTCGCCGCACTCCACAAAGCTCACTGGGGAGAGGGAGAGTGGGTGGGCAGGGCTGCCCCACGCTGTGACATGTGCCCTGCCAGCATCCCAGCACATGTCCCTGCTGTGCATGGAAATTTCAGACTACAGCACCACGTATGGCACATCCCTGCGTGTGACACTGTGCACATCCCATCCCCACACACGCATCCCTGCCATGTGGTACATCGCCAGGCACCACGTATCCCTCTGGCACAGCGTGTCCCCTCCTGTGGCACATCAGTGCTGCGCTGTCTGTGGTGCTGCAATTCCAGCTGCTTGTCAAATAAAACAAGGGCAGCACCTGCTCACCTGTGCTGGCCCCCAGCCCCTGGCACCCCAGATGAGGGGGTCCTGGGGATGCCAGGGTGGATCCACAGGGCTCTGGAGGATGGTGAGTTATGGTGACCCTCGCACTGGGTGACAGCCAAGGTGCCTGGTGCCCTTTGGCACCTCTGCTGCAGGGGGTCCTCAGGGACAGCAGGCACCCACCACAGGACCAGGGCAGATGGTGTTCTGGCGTCACCAACTTGGCACCCTGCTGGGGACCAGCATGCAGGGGCCACGGCCAGCCCGGGGGAGGCTCGAGCAGCACTGCAGCAGTCAGCAGGCATCACATGAGCTGGGGCTGCGCCGCCAGAGCTCCTGAACAAACACCCTTTGTCTGGGAGATGGTTTGTCTGAGCCAGCAGCACCCAGGGCAGAGCCCCTGCCAGCACCACCGCCACCAGCCCCGGCATCACCCGCAGCGCTTTGCTGTGCCACGGCAGGGCGATGTGCCCAGGGTGGGAGGCACGCAGCACTCCCCAGCACCGGGCACGGGGCCACACCAGCACCAGTCCCACCACCCCATGGGGTTATGTCAGCCCATGTGCAGCTCAGGAATCTGGGGATGGCGGCAGGACAGAGGCGGGTGGGGGGCGATGGCCAAGCCCCGGGCTGGGGGCTGCCTGCCACAGTGCCCCCAACCCTGCCCCCAATCAGCGGTATGCCAGCCCAGAGCATCCCCACAGTGGGACCGCGGCAAAAGCTGTGGGCTAGGGGAGCCAGTGGGGCCGGCTGGGACAGAACGTGCTGGGGCAGGTGGTGGGAGAGGCACCCTGGCACCCATGGGCGCAGGCGCAGTCTTGGCACTGTGCCAGAAGGGTGCAGTGAGCGAGCAGTGCTCAGCCCCCAGCCCCACGCTGGGTGCAACAAGTGCAACGAGTGCTCCTGGTGCTCTGCACTCACTTCCCCCTTCCTGCCCAGCCATGCACAACCTGTTTTTCCAGCTCTTCTGCTGAAGGAAAGCAGTCCACAGCCTTCCCCTCCTCCCCTCCCCAGGGCTGGTAGCTGGGGGCCCCTCTTCACTCCAGAGCAGTGGCAGAGGGGAGGAGAGCTGGAGGAGTTCCTCGAGGGATCCCCCCCTTCCTGACCCCCACCATTGCCAGGCTGCTGGCCGGGGGGATGAGACCCAGCACCCGGATGGGAACCAGGGAAGCCCCCAGAGCCACCCCACATCCCACAGGGTCTCAGCAGGGCAGAGCTGGGTGGCTCCTGGGTCCCAGTTGCCACC